CGTATTTTGTTCATTATTTAATTACAGAATAGATTTAAATAAAATTGATAGAACTATATAGAATTGATTTTTTTTTAATAAAATTAATTTTTTTGATTCTTTTAAAAAGATAAAAAAAAGATAAATATTTTTTACATTTATGTCATCCAATTTATATGTGTGTAATAGGTAAAAATAGAAGTCAATAATAGAAGCCAATTTGGTAATCACAACAGATATTATAATAAATCGTATCTTTACAGAGGCAGATACATTGTAAAACGAACAAGGATACTTTCACGAAATATACACGCAGTCGTACATTGATTCAGGAATCGATCAGCGATACTATGTACAACACAACCACGGAAGCGTGCACGATGTCGAAGTAATTCGCAGATAATGCGGTTGCACTTTTCTCAAATTTGGCACGCGGTGCATCTGCTCGTATATTATTCGTATATTATTTCCATTTATATTTTTATCCCTTTTCCCTTATTCCAGTGTCTTTGTGTATTCACGTAACAAATTAAACAATCTTAAATGCACTATAATCTCTTTCAGTGAGTCAAGATACTGGAACATATCTCAACTGATGCCTGTTCTTTCCATTTTTTGTAATAAATTTTCCTAAATAAACATTATTCGATAAACTACCAAGAGAATAAATATATCAGTTTTGCAACAAATGTTTAAGGTTAGAAACAGAAACCAGTCAAGATGATTTCTATTTTAATTTAGATTCTTTTGATCTTAGCCAAATAAATTTAAACGAATAATTAACTTACATGTGTAAGTTATATGTAAGTACGATACGAAAGAAAAAAAATGTAAAAAATAAAAAAAAAAATAAAAGAAGAAAATAATAAGTACTTAAGGCAATATTATATATATATATATACTATATATAATCATCGTAGTATATACAATTCTCCGAATTAACCTAAAAAATCAAATTATTTCAATGACGAAAACGAAAATTTATGATGTCCATGACATCGATTTTTTACGTTTGTTTCTAAATAGAAAGAGAGAAAAAAGAAAATTGAAACGAAGAAACAAGCTGCGTTCCTATTAATACACATTTAAGTACATCGATCAACCAATGTTCGTTTTTTCTATCACACATTTTTCTTCTATACAAATTCCGTGATATGTACCTCGTGATCGCGCTTGTGCTATCTCGACAATTATTTTGTTTATTTATTTATTTTATTTCGTTTTCTCTGGTTCTATCCATTATTTTCTCTTCGGTATGTCGATGTTCGTTTCTTTCGCTTTTGTTGTTTTTGATTTACCGGACGGACAGAAGATGATTCGAAAGATCAACTCAATCATGCCAAACGAGAACGATATCGGGCTTAGGATTCTCCTATATGACGAGTATCATTTACGTCATTTCCATCTTTAAGTGGCGCTGTATAGTCTGTTCAGAATCAATCGATCTCTCGAGATTAACGAAAAGAATTATCTCTTATATTTGAGAAACGTGGTATATTTACATATTTCCGATGATAAAGTGAAAATGGAAAAAAAAATTAACTAGAACAGCACCGAGTTGGACCCACTTACAAAAGATTTTTTCAATCTATCAGAGAATCAAATAGAAGCTAAAGATTATAAAAAAGAAAAAAGTAGTACTCAATTATATTCAATGGATAATTAATTTTAAACAGATTATACTATTGTCACCGGATATAGAAGTCCTAAAATTGTATAAGCAACACGATTTGTGCTGAAAAACGTTACCGAACTATATTTACAAGAATAACTTATAATTTAAACTGAACGAATCTCGACAACGAAGAATATTGTTTCTGCTTGAATTAGGATTATCATCGACTCGATGAACTTTCTTCTCTCATTCGTACACTCATTCTCTCATTCACTCTCTTTTTCTTTCTCTCTCTTCACCAATCCGATTTTACTTTCTATTCCTTTCGTAACATCTTTTTTTTTTAAATAACTACTATTTATGTACAATGCACACATACGATTCGTCGTCGAAACGACAATCGAACACGTACCCTCTTCTCCATCAATGACGAAGTCATTCTATCTATTGCCTCCACCTCTTTTTACCCCTGTTCGATGGCAACCCCTTGCCATATAATGTGACATAATGTACAGCTTTTTTTCATATCATGTTTTTAGATCTTTACGGTTGAAAAGAATTTATTATATTTGGCATGAATAATTTTATATGAATAATTGTTGAAATATATATATGGGCATTTAGAAAAATAAATTATAGATTTAAAACATTTATCTTGTAATATAGGAAAGAAAATCTTTTTTTTAATTTTTCTCTATAAGAGTATATTAATATCTTTTGAAGTAGAAAAGATATATATAAGAAAGTAGAAAGATATATATATATTATAGCAAGGGGTTGCTATAAAATCATCATCAATTCAAGAAATTAAAAGCTTATTCATTGACTAAAAGTGAAAGAAGCTTTAAGATACAACATTAACTCCATGTTTATCAATATATAGGATATGGAGAACATTCACAAATCTCCGTAATCGTTCAACAATTGACATAATTCGAATAACAATCTATAGTGCTATAGGTTCACGTCGAGACGCGACACCATATCGTTGCTCTCCTGTTGGCTCGTGAAACAATCTTCGTTTTATCTCTTATTCTTTTATATTTTTCTTGTGTGTGCTTTTTTTGGTCTTGTTTCAAGCGGAAGCACCTTTTATGTATCCTATTACGTGTGCGCGAGCCATTTTTCATCTAAAGGCATAGTTTACAAACATTGTCTGCAAATAGTTTGCATAAATTATTTACAAATAATTATCGCTGGTGGAAAAGATATTATGAGATCAGTAAAATTCATCAAATTCATAATTTATATATTTTGAAAGCCAAAACAAAAAGAGATATGACTGTATGACTTGACTGTATGACTTGACTGTATGATTGAATCTATATATATCTCTTCCACTAGTATTACATAAATTGTTACATCATATATCGTATACTATAATTTCGTGCTATATTTTTCTGCAGGTATTTAAAAATCTATGTGCAGGCAAATCTGCAGACAATATTTGTAATACTTGATGTAAATGTATAATACGTTTTACGATTTTTCAGCGGTGACAATATACGATTCAATATCTTTATAATGTTGCACTAATATCATTATGCAATTCGACAGATTTACATATTCCAATAATTCAATAAAATTACAATAATAGGATTCTGACATTGGACATATAAAAGTATCGAATCACATCAAATCTAAATAGCGCAATGTATACGATTATACGACGCTATTTAAATATATAAAGCTATCGAACAACACAACACCACTGCTGCAAAACCACAATGTCGTATCGTTCATCTACACACCTCAATACATCCTCTTAAATTTCAAAACAATCTTTTACAATGAATGCTCAACCCGCTTGTATGTACGATATTAGACAACAATAGCGTGGAACGTACTGATTCTAGAAACTTTTTTAACATCTAATTTTTGCTCTTAAATATTCTAAGTTGTATATGCGTGTGTTTAGGATTTGTGTGATTAATTCTGTTGGCCAGAGAACGATAGATTCTGCGCTACCCAAGCTCGTTTTTTCTCTGTCGTTTCAGGCAAAGAAACTTTTGAGCAAAATTTATGATAATCTGATTGTTTGCGTTTAAGTACTGGCCATTTTTGCTACATGTATCACAGTCCGCTATTTTGGTGTTCAATTACGCCAGTATCAATCCAATTTATAAGTATCAATGAATTTATAAGTACTACTCGGTCATAATTTTTTTTTCTTTTTTTTAACTTGTTTTTTTGTTTATTTTGTTATCTAAGTTTTCTTTTGCTCATCGTTAATAAAACTTGACAATTCTTGATATTTCGAGCCGGGTAAATACGACAGAATTTTTTATTTACGCACCTTTCGGTTGGCCGTTTGAAAAGAAAAATAACTATCTGATAATAATTGTTTTTATCGAGCCACGTTTATCGCGTGGATTTGCATTCGAGCTAAGCTACTAGCATTGTTATTTTCATATTATTTCTCGTATCTTATTTATTTTTTTGTATTTTTTCTCCTTTTTTTTTTCACGTTTTTTATCTTCGACGAAACATCTGATTCGTGCATCATAATCTTGGGTGCGTGGAAATTTTTGTTTCATCATGCAGAATGAACGATAATCGTTTTTAGCCTAAACTATTCAAGATTATTGTACACCTCGTTTAATTAAGTAATAATCTCACGATAGACATTTAAATATGTTATCGATATTAACGACGTTATCTAGTTTTTTCCGCAGATAAAGTGCGACGACATCTAAAGTAAATCGTGCGACTCGGCCGATCGATCGACCGTATGGATCTCTTAGTTAAATAATCCACGTTCACCAACGCGATCGAAC